ACATGTGCACAGTCATTATTACCCAGGCAGTTCCAGGCCATAGACAGCTGTTTTGCCCTCATTTAGGCCAAGCCAGCCTGGTAAAGCTGGCCAACCCAGCTAAGCAGGCTGGCTCACCTCATACAAAGAGGTCCTTTATTACCTTTACTATTTATGTATGGTCCCAGTGCTTCATCAATTTCCTTCTGCACGTCCTTCTTGATGGCCTGGTTACCCAGCACTAATGCCAAAGTCCAGAATGTTATTGGAACAGCATTTGCGAGTGATGCCCAGAGCAAGAGAACAGCATAATTTGGTGCACAGTCTCCAGTCAGTGAATCAACCATTGACTGAAGCAAAGAATCCTCTTTGAAACCTGTGCACAATTGCTTTTGTAGTACATCAGAGAACTTATCCAACAAAAAATGTTTTGACTTGGACCAGTCTTTCAATAGAAATTCAGGTAGCCTTGCTCCATGTTCAAAGCTGCCATCAAATTGAACAAACTGTTTTTGGAACTTTTTGAACTCTTTTATAGACTGAGGAAGGACACCAGATCCAAAGAGTGTGGGAACAACAGCACTGAAGACAACATCGCGAACCAAACTCATCAAGTCAACTTCAGCCCCTGGAATTTTGGCTGGTGGGTAAATAATAAACAAATAAATAAATAATGATTAAAAGCTAGCACATCCACTAAGTGGTTCTTCATCTACCTGATTCCTAGTCGAATTGGACTTTGGAAATGTTGGTTTTTGAGGAGAGGGGAAAACTGGAGTACCCGGAGGAAAACCTCTCAGAGCAAAGGTTTTTGAGGAGAGGGGAAAACTGTAGTACCCAGAGGAAAACCTCTCAGAGCAAGGAGAAAACTAACAACAAATTCACACTCACATATGGCATCGACACCAGGATTTGAACCCCAGCCACATTGGTGGGAGATGAGTGCTCTCACCACTGCACCATCCTTGCCCCCGTGAGCAGTGGCATTAAAAAATCACTGTTGGTAATAAGAATAATATTGTAAAGCCCTTAAGGTGATACATTTACACATTCTCTTTAGTGGGGAGAATTGGTTGGTCAAGCAAGAAATAGGAAAGAAAAAGAAATTACTACATTTAAGCAATTCTTGTGGATGTCAAAACACCAGCATTTTAAACAAAAATGATGGCAAGGTGTGTACTAAGCTATTCCTACACAAAACATCAAACCTATTTTATACAAGTTAACCATAAAAAGTAAAAGATGATATTAATTTTCAGGTCAAGAAAAAATTGTAGTGAACTGTTTGTTTTTTTGCAGAAGAAAAAACATCAGATATTTACTATAAAGGGAATTCTTTTTGTTTTCATAATTTTTAACAGAAATGGGCCAGTCAGTGGAAAGGAAACAAAACTCAATGGGCATTAAGGCCTAAGGCTGAGGTGAAATCTAAGCATCTAATATTTAACATGTGGTAAGTTCTTTGAAATGTTCAGAAGCCCAAATCTCTCGCAGATAGTCACATATTCCCAAGAGTGCAATTTTTTTAGCAGAATCAAAAGTCTTAAAATTTTCCAATGCCAACTTTAACTTAGAAAAACCTCTATGCTTTGTCCTTGAGCCTCTAGAGATACCCCACACTGATCCCCTCGAAGATTCCATGGAAATAATGGTTGTTTACTATATATGGTTTATTTACTATTTAGATATTTAATATATCTGTCAACCTGGGGGGTCAGAAGGGGGTCAAAGAACCCCATCACATCTAAAACTGGAACCACTGTAACAAGTTTACCCCTTCATCAACAAGTTCCACTGTAACTCTTTTATACTTGAACACACATACCATTGCTAAGGTACTCGTCTATGTGACGTGCAACCTTTGGGGCTAATTTCTGCAAATTGGACGTGGACGACAATCTTCCTTTAACC